ACTAGCCTGACCTAATGGCCATTCTTTGGCAAGTCTTTGGCAAGAATTAAATGCTACCAAACAGAGTTCACATTTTTCAGCCCCTACACATAATTAAATGCTACCAACCAGAGTTCACATTTTTCAGCCCCTACACATAATATTTTGCATTATTATGCTTCCTCATCACGCGAGGAAGCAAGAAAGAAAGTTACTTGGCCTAGAAAGGTTTGCTAGTGATGATGGTTTGACCGAGAAAAGGTGGCTGATAGTGGTGGTCTATGTTGAAGCTACTGGAGGTGAAGATGTTGTGTAGGGGAGGCTCACGATGTAGGATGGTGGTATGATAACTGTGAATTTAAGAAAAAGAAAAAGTGGTGGTTGATGTAGTGTGCTTGGTTTTCAGTTATACTAAGGAAGGTGTAAACTATGTTGGTGTAGGGAGGCTTTTTAGCTTCAGTTTTCTCTCTCTTTTTTAGGACCTTTTTTCTTGGCTAAGCTTCATGCTAATTTATAGGAGGTGAAGGGGTGTTTAGGGTCCTTTCTAAGATTGAATCATAGTCATTGATTCTCCTAGAATGGATCCCAATTATAGGCCACAAGCCAACAACCCAATACTGCAAAACCAAGTTATTAAGGCTGCTTGAATCAGGTATTTTGGACGTGTTTTGCACTGGCTACAGGGTTGTAGCTCTACGAGAACAAGGCTAGAGGTGCTGTACAATGAAAGGTTGTGGGTTTTTTTTTTTTTTTCTTTGATGGGTAAGAGATGAGGGAGAAAAGGACACTAGACGACTCAGTCATGAATCATAGGTTTTTATCTTTGGTGGGTAAGAAATGAGGGAGAAAAGGACACCAGACGACTCAGTCATGAATCATAGGTTTTTTTTAAAGAAGTTGATGAACAATGTTATATAACATGTCATTTGACTTTTATTTTTATTGGCTTGATGTCGAACAGAACGATACCCTTTTAAACCACAACGTATTGTTTCGTTTTGACAACCCTAAATTAAATTAGGTTATAAGCTCCCCTTTCGATCTTTGAATTTGTGCAATTAGATACTCAATTGAATTTTAATTTTAATAATTAATTCAATTTAACCCCTATGAATTTTTAAAAGGATCGTCTGATCTTTGCACAATTTTCAACTTAATTTGGTCCCTGAATGTGCCCGTATTTTGTAGAGAGGTGCTTAGTCTTGAATTTTTTTAATTTGACCCTTAATTGACCCCTCCATACTTTTAATTTCATGCAATTTTGCCCATAATTTCATCTTATTGAGTTTGTAAAAATTAAATTTAGTCCTTTAAAATTTCAATCTTCTTAATTAAACTCTAATTAGGCTTTTAAATGTAATTTTTCACCAACTAAGTCCTTAGTAATATTAATTTGACTTATTAAAAGTGTAATCAAGTCCTTACACTTAATTAATTCTTTAAATTTTGACTCTAATTAAATTTTTAATTAGGCTTGTGATTAAATCAAATTAGTCTATTGAAAATCTAATCAAGTTCTTAAACTTTATTTTTATGAAAATTCATTAGATATTCATTTAATTTACCTCAAATCTACATTGTTCTTCACTTTTAGGTCATTTGAGGGTATAATTGAATTTTCAATTTTGTTCAAAATTCCTATTTGGTTTCTCTATGTATTTAAATCCTTTTTTAGCTTGTTTTTGCTAACCAAGTTGATGATCCCTTTTTATTTTTTAATTTTTAATTTTTTAACAAAAAGCAATTTTGGAGAACCCAAAATTAGGTTATGACACTCGTGTTAGTGAATTTTTAACACGGTACAAGAATATGCTAAAGTTGTGAATGCATTTTATTGCATCATTATTGGTTTTAATTAAGAAATATAAAAATACTATTTATGCTTAATAAATAAATAAAAATATAGGAATTGATGAACCTTGAAAGAGTGTTGATGCTAATTAAATAATAAAATTAAAAAATAATAGATCTCCTAAAAAAAAGAAACATGAATATTTGAATATTTAACCCTGATTTTTTTTTATTTTTTATTTTTATTGTAGAGGTTATTTTTTCTTATTACAAATAAATGGTTTTTATTTTTATAAATATATCAAAAAATAAATTTTATTCATAAAAAGGTAAAAATTAAAGGTAAATTACAATAATCTCTTTGAAATATTATAAAAATATAAAACAATTAAAAAATAATCTATTTTTTCAAGCATTGTGTGTGTGAGGGAGAATCCACCTCCATGGAATTTGACTAGTACTTAAAAGTGTATTTTTTGTCAAAGTTTTATATCATCATTTTGCACTTGAAGTATCAATAACTCCTTAACTAAAGTATGTTTTATAATAACATATTTAATAATATAAGATACCTTTAATTTGTGGTAAATATTCATTTTAAATACAGGCTATCACATAAATGAAAGGATTGATTGATGAGTTTAAGAACTAAAATTAAAAGGACAGGGAGATGACCAAACTTAGAAAAGATATGTCGATGCAGTCCAAACCGAAACACTGTTCGATAATTGGGTCATATCTAGAGCTGTAGATCTCGGATTTAGGTCTACTTTATATGGATGGAAAGGTAAGACATATGCCTA